TTTTTATTTTGACAATTTATGTGTTATTAATCATGTTTTGTTGTGTGAAAAATGTGCTTATAATTATTGGTTTAAGTGGCTTTCGATATGTTATGAAGTTCGGGAAATATTGTCATGATCGTTAGTGATTTTGTTGTTATCTTGTTGTCTGTTCATGAGCCGTTTAGACCCCTGAGATTTTGTTTTCGGCTTCTGAATTCTTCATATGAATTGTAGATTGAATTGTTAGCTTTCTGTGAGCACCGAAATCACTTGAATAACTATTTGGTGTAAAAAGTTATAGCCGTTTCAAAATCAGAAAGCAAGCAGTTTTTCTGTAGGTCCGGCAGCAGGTAGGTATTAATGTTTGGTCTGTTTACTATATTATGATGTGATCAATCGAACTTGAGGTCTTCATTGAAGTTGTAGCTTTATATGTTAGATTTCATTTGGTTCAGGAATCGTGTAAAAATATGATCTGAGTGGTGAATTGTACCTGTTGCATGAGTTAGTTCTAATTTCTTGACAGCATTTATATTTCAAATGTTTGCTGGTTTTTTACCATTTGTATGACCTTATTTGCTTTTGAGTTCTAAATGAAAGTTGTAATACCATGTCTTAGGATCCATTTGAAACTTGAATCATGCTAATACGGTTTGTGTGTTGAAAAATATGCATGTTTTAAAAACGCTGCGCATGGCGGATTTTATCGAGTTCCAAGAATGATTTCGTAATTGAGTTTTACCCTATTTGTGCATGCTTAGGTGACATGTATGAGCTGTGAGATCATGATGAACTTTAGATAATTAGAATGGTGTCCTTAAGCAAGTTAAGAGTTCAATTTGTCCAAATATTTTAAGCGAGTATGATTGCAAAAAGAATGCAAGCAAGACGAAGCCAAGCGAGCAAAGTTTTTACAAAGATTAAGTTTAAGTTTAAGAAGAGCTATGTTAAGACACTAAGACATGACCCAATGAATGTAGTTTTACGAGGAGTCGAGCCCTCGAGTTTTCTTTCAAGTCAAGTCTAGTCGAGCAAAACTATTGAAAAGGTGGGGGAAGTTCTACTTTATTTATCCTTCTTGATTATCTATGTTTTGAATGAAGTTAAGTAGCTTGCATAGTACCAATGTTTATATATGTTCCAACATTCGAGCAAGTCGTTTGTTGCAGTACCAAGATTTACGGCCTATAACTCTAGAGGGTGGCTAAGTGCTAGGGTTAGAGGGTGTAAGTGGTTATATGTAACCTTCGTTGGTGCACTCTTCGAACAGTTGTACCCGTCAATAAGACTGAACGGAGCCTAATGAAAGGCTGGCTTCCTTCAACCTAATGAAGGGTACTCTCATCAAGCCTAATTGGTCGTGCCATCTGCGAGAGACATTGTTCTCCCACCACCATAAAGTGGTATAAGGAGTTTGATGAGGGGTGGGAGAGTGACAAGAATGTAATCACCTGCTTGCAAAGGCTCTAGTGTTTAGTTATCTAATAGGGTTGTAGAAGCAAGAAAGTCTTTCGACTTGTGGAAAACCACTCGTCGAGAGCTCATGTTTATGTTGAGTATACCTAATGATTTCATGCATGATAGTTGGTTAGGATGGTAACTTAGAAGGATCTCTCACGGAGTAAGTGGAAATGCTCACCCCTTTTGTTTTCCACACCCAGGTTTTGGCGAGCTGGCAATGGAGCGATGGCGAGGGTGGTCAAATGTTTTAAACATTCATGATTTTAATGTTTTAAATGCTTTCGCTGAGTAAAGATTATTTTTATGTAGTAAGTCGAGGTTCATGAAATACAAGTTAATATGTAAGTCCTCGAGGCAACACCATGAAATGTTTTATAAGAGGTTCATGTATTTATATATGTATGTAATGTTTTCAAGATAGTAGCGCCCTAAGTTCGAGTAAAGTTTTCAAATGTTTTATAAAAGGAAAAATTTATTCTAGAAATTCAAGGTATGAAAAGTGGGGCGTTACATATACGATAATCACAAACTTCATGATTGAGTTTAAATATAGCTCTACTGTCAACCGAACACTAGAAATAGTCTGACTTACGAACTATTAATCTGTGGAAAAGCACAGCTCCCGAGAAACAGTCATCCTCTTTACATGCATGTTTAGATTTCATGGCACTATGGCCGATAGAAAAACATGCAAATCAATAAGTAGCATCTCCACAAGTCCCTCAGTAGTCTTACAGACCCCTGCAAGCAGATCAATTCTTATGTCAGCTAAGAAAATAAATCAAAGCACAAATTTAACAGTTGCAAAGAAAATAGAAATGAACACTAGCAAAACAAATAGTTACATGTTTTGGCTTTACAGTTATAAGATTGAAGGCATAAGCCCAGGACTTGGCGAGAAATTCAGAATGTTATCGTATGTGACGAGTTAAAACTTATCATGCTCTTCATTTGAAAAAAACTCCACATCCGACAACATATATGGCTTTAAGGGAAGAGAATAGAAAACAGCTATTGAACAATCAAAATAATCTTTCATAACAAATTAATTTGTCTTAAGATGTCAGTAATGTGAAACGACATAGCTGAATTCCAATTCATTTCACCTAAAAGTATTACAAGAAATTTTCAGCAACTTGTACAAAGTGAATCAAACCAAAAAAGAAAATAATATGTTGCAGCTCAATCTACAACAACTTCCAATCAATCAAGGAGACGGGGAGCAGTTTCATCAGCCAAACAAATGATTAATATTGAAACAATATATGGATGATTGTAGTCCCCCCCAAGTTGCTCGACAAGGGAGATTGTTCATCATCCGTTGGCTGTAGGACACTCAACCATCACAAATAATTTCCTCAGCATTTTGTGCACACCATGGTCTTTCATTTCATGTTTTGAAAAGAAAATAGGAAGTTGATACTGAAAAGCACCTATCTAAAAGAGTTTTAATATCCAACTCAACACGATAAGCCAACAAATTATTTAGCCACAAGGTCTCTACCTCCAACAGCCAATCCCACCACTATGGGCAAATTAAAAAAATAAATAAATAAATAAATAGAATCAAACAGAAAATGTGGAATCCATTCCCCTACCTTACCACCTACAAAATAAACGTACAAATCTTCACAGAACATTTTTTACGATTTTAAACAAACACAGTTTCGAACTGGATAACTATAAATCATAATAAAGGTAAACAAATCACAGGTTAAAAAAGCTCCCTCAATATGGTTTGTATAAACCAGAAAGACCTTCCATTCATCTTCTTTTCTAGTTAATAGGCATCGATGATCCTAAACTACAAATATAATCAAGATAACTCAGAGCTGAAACATCAAGCCACAGGTACCAATGATCAATTCAAACTTTGGCAATACGGCTTTCTCCTAAATATCACTCTAGAGCAATCAAATTCTCCATTCATATAACATTTAACAAATTGTCTCAGATAAACCAAAAAAGTAGCAAGAACAAAAAGCTCAACTCTTTGAACAACAGAACACTTCACTAAACAAACGAAATATAGGTAATTGTCACAATTGTGTGCAACAACAAAGCTTTTCTATAACCCAAAGTAGCAAAGCCCATTCCAAGTTCCAATATACTTTCAAACCGATGAACTAAAAATAATATAAATGATATTGAGTAATTCATCAATGACCAGTCACATTTCAAATTCATCGTCTTTAATAAGCTTCCTTCTGCACATAATAAAAACAAAACACTGAATTCACAAACCTGACTTTCTGCACGAGAATCATTTTGAGCTTGCGGGCGAGGTCTTGTGCACGAATCTTGCGCTCCAAATTCTTCTTAGCTAGAACACGCTTCTCGGAGTTTTTAATGTGGCAAGTTTGTTCATTCCTTATCATGCGCTCGATGCCGCTGGATTGCATCTTCCTCTGCATTAAAGCCAATGCCTGATCTAAATTGTTATTTCGAACCTTAACTCGGATGCCTCGCCATTGTTGCAGCTGATAACTCAGTGAGTTAGAACACAACAAGGAGACCCCCCGCTTTGTTGCTGCTCGAATCATAGCCTCCGTTAGTACCTGACAACCAACAGCAATAATCATACATCCGGCATTCCAGCCAGCCAAAAAAAAAA